ACGTTTCTATCACCTGAAAATTTTGTTTATGTCTGACTCGACTTATTCGAAACCAAAAAGCTTGTTCAGTACAAACATTTTTTTTTAAACCGATGCAAGCTACTGGTAAATAAGTTAATGTTACAAGGATTTTAGCATGTAAGTCTTAAGTTAACATTTTGTAAATTTTATGACTGTGAGAGTGTTCTTGTTTGAAAAAAAAACATCTTTTTATGCACTGTCCTAATATTTGCGGTCATTTTTGGTTGATGTGTTCTGTACTAATTGAGAACCTTCGTTTTTATAGCAACGTTCACTGCAGATAGTTCTCTCCACTTCTAACTATAGTTTTTATTGCGCAATATTTCGCGCATCATAGTAAAATGAAGCGTATTTAAGGTTTTAATGCAACGTTTTTGCTTAATTATCAAAATTAAACAAAATTAAGAAATTATAGGTATAAAAATGTAATTACAATTTGATATAACTGATTTTTAACCGATTTTGCAAATGATAGGTAGGTTGACGTCGTTGCAGTGTGTTTTTGACGTTATGATAATCTGTAGTTCCTAAAGAAAGGGTTAATAAAAATATTATTAAAGAAAAAGTAATAAACATAAGCTCTTGAAATTTAAAACATAGACATTTGAGAATATCTCCAATATTTTTATAACGTTTTCATGCGAATGCATTGTGTACGTCATATTTTGTAATACTCTATAAAAATAGTAAAATTTGCGAATTTTTTGCATTTTGAGATGCTCCCTCTGGTAACAAGACAGTAGAATTTTGTGTTTCTTACCTATATTGTATAATATAGTATTACTTATCAAATATTATAGTTTGAACAAAAAGTCTATTGTAGTATTTGTATAATTTGCTTTAAAGTGCTAAGAATTGGCATTTTCCTATATAATCCTATAGTAAATGTACCTGTATTTTGAGACGGTAAATTCAAAAATACCTGGACGGTAGATTTCCCCCAAACTTTGCATGTACACTGAAGTTAATGTAAGTTATATATGGTATAAAAATGAAGAGTTTCGCTAATGTAGTTTTCACACAATAAAACTAGTCGGCCCCCTTCAGCGAAAGATAAGCTTGATCTTTAAGGGGCAAGTCACACCCATTATTTGGAGAATAATATAGGGTTAGCTAAAAATAAGACATTGAGTTTTACAAACAAATGGCAAGACATAATCCTCCATTCACAGATCTAGGCTCAGAACAGCTAATAATACATAGAGCATGCCGTACACGAATAATATACCATTACTAATTCTCAGGATCTGGCTCAGGTGATGAAAATATTTATTTATCTTGCTTATTGAACGACTGCACGTTGTTCAATATAACATAAAATCTACTAGTCAGATCAGCGATTAATATTAAGAAATACTTTTTGGGGAACAAATTCGCTTAAATGCAAAAAAAGAAAAGAAACTACCTTCATCAACGGATACTTTTATCCAGATATGAATAATTTCTAACAATAAAATATATGGAGAAAACGAACAGTACTGAAGTGATACTTATTATTAAACTTAAAACATCTAGCGATGACCTCATTGTTGTTAACGTATTTCGAACACGTTTTGCTTTTATATGATGTCACAAGATAATTTAAAGATATACTTATAAAACATTCTTCGTGACAGAAAAAGTCGGAAAATTTGAAATATTTGTTACATAAATTTTAACTGCGTTGTATTAACGCTTTAGATCAGCAAATCATGTACCCTTAACGATACTCCCTTCGTCCTGTGACGTCACCACAACGTAGTTGAACTCATCAGTTCTGTGCTAATTTATTCTAATTCACTTCCCCACAGACGATATTTACAAATAGTCAGGACAACTGCTTACTCCAAATTGGATTACGTTAACCCTGCTATTGGGTTCAATAGAAGACTAGCCAATATGAATCAGAAAATGGGTTTGGTGATGTGGTCATTTTCATATGATTGGCGAATAAAACAGGCACTTTTTGTGTAAAATCTTTGCACAAAACGAATAACTTATTTGTACCGAATGAAAACAAATAAAGTTGTAGTATTAATACAATTTTTCAAAATTTAATTACCCAAGTTTTGATGCATTTGGAGACAACGAAAAGCAGCTAAAGGTACTGTGAGCACTGAGCTCGCCCAATGATATACCTCCCACTTTTCAAGAGAGGTATAATGAAGCTTAAATGTCTATTCTAACAATACAAATCAGGAGAAGAGCAAACATTAACCTACAAATCATCAGAGATAGCATCGAATGCAATTGAGGAGTGAGCATTCCCCCCTGCTAACTGATCACACCCACCATGTACCTTTTGTCATCATTGGGAAATAACAACAAATAAATAGACAATTTAATGTGTAAAGAATGACCTAATAATTAATATGAAAAACGCCTTTCAACATTTGACTTTATTACAGATTGTATTTGTTAACAAGGCCATTGTATCGAGCAATGAACTTGCAAAATTATGACTTTAGACAAAGACTGTTGACTTTCTCTCTTCATAAAATATCCCATTGCGGTATCAGTTGTTGCTGTGTGGAAGTAAATGGAAAAGTAAAACAAACGTTTTGTAATGATATTTTATAATACGTGTACTAAATCGTGAAGCAATGTTTTGTTATGGGATCGTTTATCGTCTGAGTTGAACTGTAAAGTTGTAGTGATACCGTTGTGTTACGTTTACTACGTACATAAAAGTCAAATTTAAAGTGATTTTTAACATTACAATGTCTATTTTTTTAATTTTGAATTAATTTTGAGTGCTGAAATGGCGTAAATAAATATGATCTGATTTATACATCTGTAATTAAATGAGTTTTTGAAAATTAAAGGTGATTTAAAACATTGTTATCGGATACAAGGCAACGCAAGTACATTTTTGTAATTACATAAGCATAGCTTCATTGACGATGATAAACAGAAATTTACTGACCATTGGAATGTCAAAAAAGAAAATAATAATTCATAAATCAGTCACATTTAGAGTTTATATCGACAATATTTGTCCTCTATCTTTGATTATTCAAGAACATTTTATTTTAAGTAAAACGATTTAAATGAATCATACAGAGATAACAAACAGGATTCAAGCTCAACAATCCATTAACAATACTCAATATAACAGAGCAAACACAGACTTCCAAAACATTAGAAGTGGGATCAGGTACCATGGAGGAGTGAGCATTCCCTGCCGATCGGTCACACCGGCGTATGCTCCTTGTCATTATCGGAAATTAACGTTGATAATTTAGATTGTACTCAATAACCCAACAATAAGTATGAAAATCGTCAGTCAACATTTGAATTAATGTTAAATTGTATTTGCTGAAAATCTCATTGTATGGACCATTAACACTTCTTCCCTAAGTAACATAATAACATATATTAAAATTTAAATATCCAAATTAAGTGTGTGTAAAAGTATCCTAATTAAAAAAGCAAAAAAAAAAAATTATTGAAAATAGTTCATATCTTATCCCTCGGTATTCATGAAAAATAAAGATACTATTTTACTATTATAGTATTTTTCGACACATAATGATTTATGTTTAAATACAATAGTAATAATAATAATAGCAAATTTTCAAAAACTATTCTTTAAAACCTAGATAATCATGATAATTTTCACTATCATCACTTTTTTCATTGAAGACCTTGCAGTAAAAGAGTTGTTTCTTTTAACAATCGATATTACATTCACAAACCAGAAGGCTTTTGGGCAAATAGTTTTAAAATTATCAGAATGCATACCTGTCTCATCAAACGTTCTACTACACGAAAATTAGTGACACAAAATACAAGCGGAAACTATAAAGTCGTTATACAGGTCATCATGTCAGAGTAAAGCAAACGAACTTGTTCTAGAGGAGTGGAGCATTTCATAATTCACTTGAAATATATGGAGATAATAAACATTAGTTCATCTCTCTCTCTCTCTCTCTCTCTCTCTCTCTCTCTCTCTCTTCCCCAAAGCTAAACTACGGCATTAGAAGGAAACTTTTGTTGTGACTTTCAATTCGACATTCAAATATCTAAAGGATTTTATTTATGATATTTGACAATTAAGAATAGTTACACTCATCAATAGGTTTCCTCGATACATCCCAGTGAACTCAGAATACTGAACTATATACAGAGTCTACCATATCTGTTTCATATGAGACGTTTTACCGAAACATTATTCCCAGAATTACTACTAAACAGCAAGAAAAAATAATGGTGACTTAAGCTGTTTAACCGTCAACTGGTCAAGTAATAATATTCCAATATCACCTGCATATTTTGTTAAAGTTTTCCAAATGATTCGGCACAAAGGATTATTTTCTAAGTTAAACCCATTTTAAAGGACAAGAGCTACTGACAAATAAGTCACTGTAACAAGGCTTTTCATCTGTATCCTTTTCACAAAATCTTTTGTTGATATAATGACCGTGTTTGCACAAGCAACATATTTTTAGGTTGTAATTCACTTTATTACTTTATATGTAAACTCCCGTTGGCAGATCATTGTTCAATTTTATGTATTTTTATTAGATGCCTGCGATTAATCATCGTTCCTTATTTCAATCTTTTGAAGGAAAACCCTTCTGAAGGCGGACCCTAACGCTAACCCTGGGAAGAAAGGTTAATTGTTTTCTACCAAACATACAGTTATTAGAAGAGTTTTAAAATTTCAAAAGAAGCCTCGTAAACAAAGCACAAATATTGTTTAAAGGAATGACTTTAATATTTTTTAAACAGCCAAGTCACCCTTTGCTATACATTTCTCAGGATGTCTTTGTTTCATTCGTTTTTCGTGTCTTAAGTCATATCATTGTAGTTTCTGCTGTTTTCACCCGCGAAACATTTCAAGTTTATGTCGTGTCATTGACGTTAAAGTCAGGAACATAACAAATAAGATATCTTGCAGCAGATCAGACACGCTTTTTCACACTTTCACATGCTACCAATAACGGAACATCTACTTAGTACTGCATTGAAACATCACTTATGCATAAAGATCCAATCAATTCTGTATTGATAAACTATTACAGTCTCATCAAGCTTCAACGGTTTTATCATACCGAGGCCACGCACCTGTTCGTCTGACGCTTCGGTGACGTAGCAGTTTTGGGGTGGAATATTTATCCAATTACATGTAGCGATTACTATTGGAAGACCATTTTTTAATTCCTCTAGCAAGTAAGCGCACCAGTGCGGACCAGCACTCCTGATTGGGGGCGGACATCGTATACTAAAACTACAGCTAGTTAAAACGCTCTCAGAGTTAAAGATAAAATATCAATGCTCACGAACATTATTTTTTCATTGCACAAGGAAAACTTTAGTGCCTATCTGATTGGTTAGTGCTTTTATAATTGTAGTGGACTGTATTCTGATAACTGTAGAGACTTTTAGACAGGAAATGCGAAATTCATCAAGCTTTGTCTTAGTTGGTGCTACCTTATGTGTTTATTTCTCAGTCCAGCTTTCCTCTGTTACAGGTAAGTATCTAATGATTTAGGCTCAATTTTATTAAGGAAATTCCATAAAAGGAACTCAGTTTGTTTTGAGAATATCAAGGTACACGAGTTTTTTCTCTCATTTTGCATCATTTTTATCAAATTTTAGTGTCTTACAACGAAATTGTCTCATGTTTATTGTAGGAAAACTTGAAGAATAAAAGCAACATTAGAGGTGAAACTCGATTAAACCCCATCTGACATGATTGCCAGTTTTCTTTAAGCATTTATAAATTCTAAATTTTCTTACTTTTGCGTTGTTAATTTAAACTATTCGAAACATGAGACAATTAGGTAAAATATCTAAACTCCAAAAGTTTGAGAACTAAAAAAATATCGTGACTCTTAAATGTTTCAGGGAAGGGGATTATTCGATATTGCAATCTCCGAAAGAAAAAAAAAGAAAAACTCATGGTTGCACATTATGGAAAATTGCCTTATAAAATGCAGAGTAGTTTTTGTCGATATATAGATCTGAGTATGTTCTGTTTGTTTAGGGAGATTTACATTTGATTGTTCATTTCCCCGCTATCAGCTGATCAGAAATTCACACATACTAGGATATGGTATTCTTTTTCATCGGGTTCCTTGAGGTATCAATAGAAAAAGTTGGTTTATTGGTGCTATTTGTCAGTTTTCTACAGATTTTTTTGTATTAAAATTTGCTGAGAAATTTTAAGTTTGACCCTTGCATCAAGAGAGAAATTTAAAGAATGATAAATAACTTGATTTTCAGAAAGTCAATGAAATTGTCTAATTTTATTTGGTAGTATTTTCATGTTTGGATTTAATGCTGTATGATATCCTTTGCTTACTAAATTGAGAACAATTTAAGCTATTATTTGGTTGATGTTTCATAGATCTTTGGTATTTGTGTCCTTAGGATAAATTGTAAAACAGGATGTTATCCTTCAAATGTATTGCAAATTATTTTGATGATTTTTGGAGAGAATATCTTTAAGATGCCGTAAATGATGCTTTATAACATGGTTATTTTAGTAATGACGGACCGAAAAGATTCAATTGCTTAAAGCTCCAAGTAATCACTAATCAGGCTTTTCATGATGTCTAGATCGGTTCCACAACGTCATATCTTGTTGCTACTCCTCAAAACATTTTTTGTCCGTGGAGCATAAAATAAAATTAAGGATCGTACTGAACAACGATCATGCACCTTTCGAATGGTTTCTGTAAAGTATTATATAAAATATATATATAACTAGTTTTTAAAAATAATTTCATTTTGATCTTTTTAAAGGTTCGTTGTATTCTCTAACATTATAATGGATTGGTGATAACATAGAAATTGGAAATACTTTGAATAATCACGAGAAAATTAAATGACATTAAGGCCTAAAAGATAAAAAAAGAAATTAATTTTAGAAATGTTAAAGAACTCTGAATACAAATATATACATAGTTTTGTTCTGTTTTCAAATCAAAGTGGCGTTGATTTGTTTGCTATTGCAAAATTAACGTTTCCCGGCCACAGGAAAACTACTTTTTCACCAGTTATAACCACATGGGAAAAAGGTCACAACTAGTTCTGTTTTCAAATTAAAATTGCTATTGCTAAAATAACGTCGTAAAAAGGTAATAAGAAAGAAAGAGATGGATTCTTCAGTCTAATAGCATTTCCAAAATCCAGTCTTAGGAAACAGGCAAAAAGATACATGCAATCTAATTAAGTGGCATATGTGAAAACCGTTTAGCATAGTGATTTGATATCTCTGTTTTAATTTTAGCCTTTGGTCAACCGTATCAAATTTTTATGTGACCAGAATTTTAAAAAAGGTCATATTTATTATCTTCATCTATCGATGAGTTGTAGGAATGAAATGGCTGATGTAAACGGGATATATTGATTTTCAGAGCTTATAAAACATTCCAATTTACACCTTCAAAACAAAAATACTTGATTGAAAAGCTCAACAAACAAGTAAAAAACATTAGAGAATGCTGTGAAATTTGATTTCATCCTCCAAAATTAACACTAACAATATTGGTTTTTGTACGGCTTCTACATCAAGAAACAAAATGTATAGAAATCTGCTACATCCAAGCCGCATGTTTCTTTTTACAAGGTGTGTGAACAAGTTCAAAATAACCGATAAAAAGGGATATTACAGAAAAAAATGATTTCATTACAGTGACCAACAAAACAGTCTCTTCACCTGAAACACGTAAAACGACGGGATTAGATACAGTCATGTAACGAGTTATCTCTTTATACATATAACGTGTCAAATAAAAAAAGATGAATTCGTGGGAATTTTTGCTTTGTTTCTCGTAGTATATAATCGGTATTTCAAATTGAAGACTTAAAGAGAGAGTATTTTGAATTTACATTTATCAGTATTTGAATCAAAGCACAAATCGTGATGATGAGAACTTCTCTTCTAAATGATATGCGTTAACTTTTGTTCTTTAGGGCAATTGAATATTTTATCTCTGAAAGGTACTTCCTTTTGTTAACAAGATAAAAGACACTTCATCCATACATGAGTCAATGGTTGCCTCTTTATTGAGAGTTAGTGATGCTTCCTCGTTCCAGTCTACAGACCTCGATGCACTTTCTCCTTAATGAGTTAAAGGATCTCTATCTCCCCTCAGTACAGGAGCTAACAGGGTTTTCCTTCTAAGTTTAATGAGCTAGAGGAAATATCCCGGTATTTTTTTCTTTGCTGAGACAAATAAAGGGTTGTTTCCTTCTGGAGCTGAGCTAAGAGTGCTTCTTTATCACTCAGTTTAGGCCTGGGGTAATGCATTTCTGTCTTTAAAGCAAGAATTATATTGATATCTTGCGTTGAATCTCGTTTATTTCTTGAATATAGTCATTTTGTCCGTCTTAATCAACTTTGTTGTTTAGAATTTTAACCAAAATGGATGTTTACTAGATAGTTTTAATTTTAATAAAAATGTACTCATTGCTTTCTGATCCAGAAGCTAAATCACTGCCTTTCACTGTTGAGGAATGTTTTCTATTTTCCTTTCCTATTTATAAAACCTGAAAATATTTTCATCAGATTTTTGAAAACCTCAAATTTGCTATTTTGTTTCCGTTTATTTTCCGTCTTATCTCCAAAGCAAAATTGTGTTTTGGGATATAAGAATAATGCAGAATTTTAAAACAACAAACTTTGTTCATTCTTTAAAGTCCATTTTATGAAAACATCATGTGTGGAGCTATTAAAAACCTCTGAAACACCAGGGGTAGGAACAGGTGTCATGAAGGAGTACCCCTGGAAGCATCCCCTACCGACCAGTCACAAACCCCGTTTGCTATATAGGGTACGAGTAAGTTGTGAACAAGGCTAGATGAGTCTACAATTCTACCATTTTAGATGAAGAACTTCAATTTACATTTAGTTTAACTACAGATTATAGTTACAAAGTTATTTTTATTTGAGACTAGATTGTTGTTATCCTTCTATATCAATATATTTATCAAAGGCCTCTCTGGTGTTAGAAACTGACGATACAAAGACTTTGTTTTGCATAACGAATTTACTGGGAAAGAATAACTGCATATGCAGATAAAAATGAGAGAAAAAATGAAAATAGAAAATTTAAAATCGTCACTTTTACGTAAACCTCATGTGTCAATTTGCCATGATTTCTTTCTTTAGTTAAATATCCAAATTTGTAACAGATGTGTCCGATTCTGTGGTATTTCTTATATCATGTTCATTACATTATACCAAACTAAACGTTGGAATTATAACGAATTATTTTTTTCTGAATTGCGTCGAAATAAAAAATATGACAAGAATTATATTTTAATTTATTTTAAACATAAAAATCAAAGTAAAATGAATACAAAATAAGAGACACAATAAATATCTATGGACTCGTGGAAGAACTCCTCTCCCAAAACAGTATGGACATTGTCAATTAGAAACTCAAGAATCACTTTAATATTATCAACATCAAAATACTTGTGTGTAGAATCAGAGTGCCTTTGACAGGGTGAGTTTGTAGATGACCATTTAAAATGTATTAAAATTAAACAAGTTCTTTTGGTCTGTAATTTATCGCAAGGAATGGTTATTTAAAGTGTAGAAAGTTCCTAAGTTTTCGAGTTATTGGTGAGCGTTTCCTTGAAGGCGCATTTATGGTCTGATAGGAATTCAAACTCCTTGCTTCTGAATGACTGACATTTCTCTTAGAGAATACATATTTATGCTCATTTCAGAATGCATGTTCATTCCAAACAGATAGAAACTTTTTATAAGCAAAGTACCCGGTGTTTTCTTGTCTGTTGAAAAATGTATAAGGGATCTTTTAGGTTGCGAAATATAGGAATTAAGGAAAGTTTGTACGTATTACGTGTAATGGAATTTCTTTTTAGAGTACCGTGTATTAAAAAGATCATTTTTCAAAATGAACATAGCTTTTTTCGACCTGGAATCGTGGTATTTGTTTAATTAAAGTCATTTTATTATGTTTTACGTGTGTTAATATGAGCAACTGATCAATGGTGACTCAATATGCCTGTTCTTTGTAAAAATTATCGATGGCTACTGTATATTGGGCGATTCCCCGGATTGTTTTATCCTATCTTTCGGAATACAACAATCGAACGAGTGCAGTTCGCTTTGATTTCGCTTCATCTCTCTTGAATTTATTGGCTGTGGGAAAATATTTGTGTAAGATATCGTATCAAATTTAACCAGATGTTTACGGAAAGTTTTGCGTTCAATAAAATCGCTCTGCTTTTGTTTCTCAAATATTGACATGTGCTCGTTTTCATCCTATTTTATTGAATCTGTCCAAGTGATGCTTTGACATTTCTGTTTGGCTTTTTGACAAGTACATCATGCTGGTTCTAACGTTGGGATATAAATTTACTTCAGAGAATCTAGTTAATGCCCGATTTAATAATTCCAAGATTGTTAATTAGTTTTCAAGACAAATTAAGACAAATATTTATTTGTAAACAGAGTAGAAAAAAAACTTTACACTAGCTGAAACTTTAACAGCGATTTTAAATGCCAAAGCTAGTTATTGTTTTGTTAACGAAGGTTTTGGGGGAAAATACTATAAGAGTAATTATGTGTTCAATATTTATACCTTCTTCTCATGACGGGATGATGATATATAGATTATGAACCCCCAGAACACGATAGTGCGGTCGAGCCTAGCTCATTGCTTCGTGAATTTATGTTAACTTTTCTAAATTTAAATCCCATTGTGATCTATTTTTCTTCTCAAATGTAAAAAAAGAAAAGTTATTACCATCTTAATTTGAAACTAAGGTGTAAACTAGTAGTAAATTTTGTGAAATGTAATTATCTTGTTTTGGTTATTGTAGTGAAGTGATTCCAGTGATATGTAGTTGTTTGTAATTGAATTGGTGCTGATGATATGTAGTTATTTTTAATTGAAGTGTTAGTGTGGGCGAAATTCTCCGCAGAAGTATAAATAAACATCTATAGAATTCTCCTTGTAAGAATTCATTAAAGGAAGTTAAATGCCAAAAAAGGAAATATATTTTTTTACACTTAGAGGGACACAAGCGTTTCTTTTTGTTATGTCTCTTTAAACTGGAAATAAACATAATTTGTTTAAGTTCAAGAAGTTAATATTTCTTTTTTGAGTCTCTTCAAACCACTCAGAAAAAAGCATTTTAAAATTAAAAAAAGAAAAGGTCAGTTAATGTAAACTTTATAAAATTAGGGCTCACTTTAACTTCATTTTATATTTGAATACAAACAACTATCCAAAGTGTTATTTTTCGGATTATAATTTTGTTTCTTTTCTGTGTTTTTTTTTCTCGTGTGTCATATTTTAATAAAACTATTTGCCGGAGGAGGGCTGCACATTTCGACCTGTACTCGACATTTAAGCTTTTTGATAGTGAGGATTCTTTTCTTGTCAGTACCTCCTACTGGGACAAGGTTCTAGGTTCAAATTGCCTCATCCAAAGGACCAGTCTCCAGGTCCCGCAGTGTGATTCCCACCAGCTAGGTCAGGATTAACTCCTTATTCTGCGACTTTAGACCAATCGTTTTGATCACCAAGTCGTGGTTACGTGGTTATTCAAGATGTGGCTTTCAGTACATTTCCTTTTCTTTACTCTCAGCATTTAATAAAATTATCTTCCTATTATGAACATCATCTTTTCTAAACCAATACAAAAAGATCTCGTCTTGACATCGAATTTCATTTCACTTTCATGATCGAGATTATATGTTCTCGCCCAACCCTTGCATTATACTTTGGACAGAAGTTTTGTAATACACTAACAATTCATGGGATTGCATTCATGACATTTAATAGTGCATTTTTTAAACTAAGAGAAGTATCACGATTTTTAACGCTGGAATTTTTTAATACCAATTGATGGTTGCAGGGGGTTGTTAATGCTGTGTGATTGAATGGAAGCATAGATGGTTAATTCAATTTCAGGTTGCAACCTTCGCCTTTAGAGTAAAATTAGCAAAAATTATCTGAACAGATTCTCTTCTTTATAAAAGAACTTAAAACAACAGGTTGACAGCAAGGCAAATGATTCCCTTATTTACGGACAACTCCGATTTTTAACTAACAGATTTCATTTTCCTGTGGGAAATTCCCCAAGTGATGGACGCAGGGTCACTCACTGTAATATTGCCGTTTTCTGATTGTTTTCCCTGTTGTTTGAGTGTTTAATTTCGACAGATAAATGGCGTACTTTGTCGGACAATTAAGTCCGATACGACATCATCTTTCTTTTTTGATGACTCGCTGATTCTGAATTTCATTTGATGCCCTCTAGTGCTTGTTCAAGTCCACTTCATCAAAATAAAAGGGCGGGAAAAGCTAAGCTTGTTTGAGATATTCACAGAATTTTTGTTCCCTACAGATAATTATGTTCCTGATGAAAGTTTAAGTAATTGGCTGTCTCCCTATCTCTCTTCATTGCAAAAGTCTTATAGGAATTCCAAAACAGCTGTGCCTGTGAAGGAATTAAGATTTTCCAATTTTAATCATCCTCACTGGCTTAAAAACACTAATCTCAAAAGAATTATGAAAAGAGAATATTTCCTTACAAAATTCCTTAAGAACACAAATTCAAAGACAAATTGGATTTTATGTTTTTTTTCTCTAGAAAGATAGAAATAAATTACGATTTTATACTTAGTTTTTGAGATCGATTACTATTCGTTATCTCCAATCTTTTATAACATGATATCTTGTTGTTATATATCATTTTATATCAATTTTTATTACAGCAGCGAAATGCAAAGGACCCTGGGCAAATCACATGTGCTTTGGAGGTATGTATTCTCATGTTTTATTATTTTCATGTAGAACTTACGGACATTGAAGTTCATTACATGGAGATTGATTAAATAATATTTAAATTCACAAAGAACTTTTTTCATGTACATTAATAATACTTATTGCTGTTAATCAATTTCAAAATTATTGCAAAGTAATCGGAAGGATAAAGCGGCAAAATTAACTGTTCTGCGACTCCAGTATAGATGTAACGTTCTTGTCAATACAGAATTAATTAATGTAACTTAATTAGCTTCAAAGGAATGGGTCATACAGAAATACATGTAAATTTAAAAAAAAAGAGTAGAACTTCATTATTGCTATAGCTTTCAAAAACATTTTTTACTAAATTCAATGACAGGAGATATGAAATCAGGAAATAAAATAGGAACAAATAAGGAACATTGAAATGTCTCAAAAACCTTGAAACAAAATAAGTCTGTAAAGAGGGAATAATACACAGATCCCTGGAAACTTCTCAGCGGCTCTCAGAAAGATAGGGTGGAAGTATACCCTTCAGCCACAAATAAATCATTACATACCCAAACAAACATGAAACGTAATAGTGTAAAACATTCTACATTTTCATTTTAAAACAATTTAGATACATTTCAAATACACTTTTATTTTCGACAGGAAATGGAAAGAGATCATGGTCCCCCTCGCGACAGGAGGTTGATAAAAGAGCTGATGATATGGGACGAACTCTGCTTAGAAGTGTTCTCTTAAAAAGATTGAATTCTTACCCAACAGAAGAAAAATATTATAACGATTTAGATAGCTTTTATCCATTGGACTCCGATATATCAGATAAAGACGATTCTAGCATTAAAGAACAAGAAATCAGAGAATTTTTACAGGAGCAGGTAAATACTATGTAATTTTTGATTTGGGCCACATTTAGAAAATTGTTTGGCTGGCCTCTAACGAATCTGTCTGGAAATATCGAGTTGGTAGGTAGGTGAGAATTTTTTCTCAGAAAATTTGAATTTCAATGATAATTTTTTAAATTCTATTTTGCAGAGTACTTTAAAGAAATGATTACTTCGTGGGGTTTTAAAAAAATTGAGTTTGTTCATTTTTAGCCAGTCGGTCGGGAGAGGGGAAACAAACAATTTTTTAAAGATGGCCTTGATTTTTCTTCGTCGTCAAAGAAAAGCCACTACATAGACTTTATGGTCACAGATAAGTTATTGCAGAGACCTTATAGTCATAGATAGTGAGTTTTTCGTCACAGACAGATTATGTTAAAACATAACCGTCAAAGATAGAACATCTCAAAATCCTTACCGTCATAGATAGGATATCTCAGTAACTTTAACGTCAGATATAGGACATCTCAGTAACCTTACCGTCATTGATGGGATATGGGATATCTCAATAAGCTTAACGTCACCGATGGGATATCTCATTAACATAACGTCACAGGATATTTGGTCACAGATAATATCTCAATAACCTTACCATCACAGATATAATATCTCAGTCACATTACCGTCACAAACACGATATATCAAGAATCGTACCATCACAGATAGGATATCTCAGTAACCTTTCCATCACAGATAGAATATCTCAGTCACATTACCGTCACAGACACGATATCTCAATAATCGTACATCACAGATAAGATATCTCAGTAACTTTACCATCACAGATAGGATATCTCAGTAACCTTACCATCACAGATAGGATATCTTAGTAACCTTACCATCACAGATAGGATATCTCAATAATCGTACCATCACAGATAGAATATCTCAGTAACCTTACCATCACAGATAGGATATCTGAGTCACATTACCGTCACAGACACGGTATCTCAATAATCATACCATCACAGATAGGATACCTCAGTGTCCTTACCATCACAGATAGAATATCTCAGTCACATTACCGTCACAGACACGATATCTCAATAATCCTACCATCACAGATAGGATATCTCAATAACCTTACCATCACAGATAGGATATCTCAGTAACCTTACCATCACAAACACGATATCTCAGTAACCTACTGTCATAGTTAGGATTTCGCAATAACATCACCGTCACAAAAAGCCCATGGCTTTGACGTTATAGTCACAGAGGAGCTATCACAGTGTTTGTAACTTCAAGAACAAGTTATCTCAATTTCCTTATCCCTATTAGTTATTTTAAGGACTTTTTATGACAGATAAGTTATATTAGTGACTTTATCGTCACGACTTGTTTATCTCAATGACCCTATAGTCACAGATAGGCTATCTCAGTGACCTTATCGTCAAGGTAATGTCGTCTGGCTGATTTATAATCAAGGATATATCAATATTATCGTCATGGATAGGTTTTGACGATAGGTTATGTTCGTGACCTTATCGTCAAAAAAAGGTTATCCTAGTGACCTTTACTATCATAGAGAGGTCATCTTAGTGACTTTATCATCAAACAAAGGTTAGCTTAATGATCTTATCGTCAAGGATGATAAGCTCAGTGACTTTTTCTTCAAGGATAAAATTATTTCAATAACCTGATCGTCACTTCTCAGTTACTTTTTCGTCACGAAGAGGTTATCTCAGTGAATATGATTGAATGATAGGCTATTTTTTACTTCACCGGCACGGATTAGGCTATTTCAGAGACTGTGGTGTAAATCTTCATAAGAGATGAATTTGTAATCTCTTCTCACATTCTTGGCTCAAAGCTTGCTTATATAGTTCTCAGACCATTGATTCTGTTTGTTTGTCTAGACAAGTTACTGAGTACTGAATACACTTGTTTTGCATAGTATTCTCTCTAGGGAAAATCTGGTCATCTTAGTTATTCTTGAACCTCGACCAAGAGAAATGGAAATGTAATAAATTATTTATGGCTAATAAATTTTTTATGGACTGTTCTTAAACCTGAATATGAGATTATGCAGACATTATACTTATTTCTGGTGCTAGACTCGAAGTTTAATGCAAAATTTTGCCTCAATTTTTGAAAGTTTTGTTTCAAAACAAAGTGCCGTCCTACCCGGAACTAAGAACATTTTGGCAATCCCATGATATGATATCAATCTTTTTTTTTATGAATTACATAGACAAAATAGTTATTATTCTTTAATATTAAGGATGTCCCTTTCAATTCATTTTTAGTTTTAGAGGAACTATAAAGATCTGATTGGTTGATAAATATATACGCGGGAAAAAGCCTTCTTGATTTCCTTGAACATAACACTGAGATTAATAAGTAATTATGTATTGTATTCTACATATTTCTTTAAACGAAATGATAAGGTATTCCAAAATTATGCAAACCTTAAAGATTCAAATTTAATGACGCCATTGCCCTTTTCCGGCAATTTGAAAATATGACTGTAATAAATATTTATAAAACTATAGATCTAAATCTTTGACAGAGTAACAATACGGATTCCGTATGATGTTCAGAAATCGTTTATGATACTCTTATGCTGGTATTCTATTCTAAAAGCAATCAGCGCCTTTTAAATATTTCATATCGCCGTTTCATTTATACAATTGGACCGTTGTTTATTTTTATTGTATAACGATCCCGACATGTCAAGTAGACGCTTTCAGTCAATCCATTGTCCGTTATATTGAATTGTGTTAATTCTCACGAGAGATTTCCCCTCTGTGATGTGCTTAGTGCGGTTATTAATTCTCAGCGCAGCCATGCAATCTTCATACGGCCTTCTCACCACAATTAGGTATCATGTCATAGGGGGATTCAGAAAAACGATTTATTTTTCACTAATACTGCAGAAAAAACGTTTAACAGTAAAGGCGAATCTGTTAAATAGATTAAATCACATCTGATGATGGTGCACCTTACACTCCAACGGTAAAAATTATTCCACGATTATCCTATTTTTTTCTCAATTTTATACTCAGATTACTACGAATATATTCAATTTACAATAAATCTAAGCATTTCCTCATCATTGTAACAATGGCAGATAATCGTATTTTTTTTGCAAACGATTTACCTTTTTCTTTGGATGAAAGGAAGTATGTTTCTTTGTAGAACACCATTATTATACAATTTTCTCTCTCTGCTTTGCATCTTTCATATCCGTCTACCTGGTCCGTACGTAAGGCTCACTTTGGGTGTGACCGTTAGAAAGGGGATATTTTCTTTGTCTTGGCTCCCGATTCCTTATCGCATGATTCCAGGGGTCTATGAAAATGTGTATGTTTACATTGCATTGTATAGTAAACTTATAAATAGATCTCCAGTCAATATGATGTTCTTTTTCATTTATTTTTTTCTATTATCTTTGTTTATGTAAACTAAAATTGAATTTCTTTGATTAGGGCTCTGGGCACTGAGCAACTTAACTCAAAGATCTTTAATAACACTCAGTTATGTAATTCATTGGTCTTCCTTTGTATTTTTCAGCTGTTAAAACGAGAAATGGCAGCGTTGACAGACGAAGAGGAATATCTCCGATAAAAAAGACAATACTTCCCGGACTTTATGTTCAACTAGATCAAGTTGTTATAATTAATAAAGTTTGACTTAATTATTTATGCACTCATCTGATTGTCTTACCTTTTCTCTGTTTTAAAAGGAAACCCACTCATAGACTCATACATATCATCAGTGGTCAAATAAGTTCTGAAAAAATCCAAAGAAAGATATATATTTAATGAACCTGTGTTTGTTATTCTTATTTAGTATGACTATTAAAGAATGAATTTTTCTCTTGTCGTTCATTTGTGATCATCAATGTTTGGTAGTATTCAGATAACTTGGACTCAGTTCCCTTACGACGTAACGAAATTAAAATCATACTATTTAAAGACAGGTTTTATCAGAGGTAAACTTTTGACTTGCTTTACTGTTCCTTAGTCAAGAACTCAACACTCTGAAGTGAAATTTGCAGTTTTTTATGTAGACTTTAAAAATGACGCGGCGAATTACAGTAGGCGTTGATACGATAAGGAGTTCTCACTGCTCAATAGTCATGATGCTGAGTAAAGGTCAAAATATGTTTACAATGTACTTCACCAATTAAGTGTATAAATAATGGCTAACAATTATTTCCCGATCATGACAAGTAGCACACGGCGGGTGTGACCGTCAGCAGAGGATGCTCACTCCTCCATGGCACCTGATCCCACCTCTGATGTTCCGGATGTCCGTGTTTGCTCTGCTCCTAATTTGTATTGTTTCATGGACTTTGAGATTGCATACTGTTCGTTATCTCCAAATGTTTCATGGGCTTTGAGATTGAATACTATTCGTTATCTCCATATCTTTCTTATCTCCATATCTTTCCTTAGTATGAAAAAAGTCAGTCAGCATTTTATTCAATAATAAATTGTATTTACAGACAAGGTCATTGTATCATCCATAGAACTTAAGAAATGATAACTTTAAACGAGACTGCAGATATTCTTGTTTCATTAACTTGTTTGTCAATAATTTACATCGTTTTAGAAATTGTTCGTACGTAGAGCATGCTCTTGCGTATCGACTCAAATGAAATACATAAACTCCGTATGCAGGTGATGAAGGTATATTGCTGCATAAGTAAGGGAAGTTGACGAAAGAAAAGTTAAAGTCCTCACGTTTATGTTAGATTACCATTAACGTCTTTTTCAAGTAAAATATCTCAATATGAAACAGATGTGTGGTATCTTTTATCTAAAACTCACCAGGATATATTGTATCGACTTAATCTGGCCTTCAATATATAATTTTTTTTTACGCTTGACTGATGATAAAGAGCAGTCTACCATGGGTCTGGCCGGTTAACAGGCATGCTCAACTACTCTTGAATTTGACCCAACCACCTATGTTCCTTTGTTCCTAGTTTGAATTGCTTCCATGTTCTTTTGAGCCTGATTACTGTAAACTGTATATAATTTGATATCTAATAATATCATTTTTCTTATACATACATCATGCAAATCGCTTATTGATTCAGTCAGGTGAAAATAGTTCATGTTTTTGTGATCAAAGTGATACGTCAATTTTTGATGAACACTTTTACTGCAGCATCTCATATATCTTAATGAAAAATTAGCTATGGATGCAAAAAACTATAAACAATTAGTCGTTCAATATTGTTGCTGCTTACCTTCCAATAAGCCATATAGAAAAGTTTTATTATCAAAATAAAAAAGATGTAGGATACGGAGATAAAAATACTATATAAAGAAACAAAAAAGATTTTGAACAAATACCTTAATGACCCATGGCACATATAAACACCTAAGAATTCCGAGAAGACAAAGAAACTGGTTTTAAGAACATTGATTATGATTTGCTATTATTTCCTTAAGACAAAAATAACTTTAACTAAACGCAAAAAAATATCTTTGGAAATAAAATATGAAGATTACAAACAACCTCAAACTCCGAGATCCATTCAAACAACACAGATCAGGATCTGAACATCATTATTTATAAACACTAATAAGAGTTGAAGTGTAAAGATTAGATGGAACTGGTATATACCGCTATACAAACATATAATCTAAATCACCTTTCCGGAAAGTCTCCTTTTGTGTGACGTCACAGGGTTTTAAAACATTTATAGAAGTAAAGTTCATTGAGAATCACGTTTATTCACGAATGATAGCAGCAGTGAATATAATAGATTTTAATATGCATTAAAGACAGGTTCATACCCGTGCTTGTGTACTTTTAATAGATATTTTATTGTTTTTAAAAAGATGCGAAGATAGTGTGTTTTCAAGTTCAACCCCTTATTTTATTGTTGCTCAAACAAACTTAAATCATTCTACATTTGCTTTTATTCATGTGTAAATAACACTAATTATTTAAAATTGAAAAGAAAACAAAAATGTTGATATCATTAGAAAAATCGCACAACATTCAAGACTTGCAGTTTCTCCCATCACTAAGTCCTCCATAAACACTGTAGACGTACTTTTTCCACGGGGTCATAATATATAATCCGCGGGTAGAAAATTACCGGATTTTCAAGATTGTCACTATATGTCTTACTTTTATATTAACTACGCTTGGACAAATTCCCGCGGAGAATTTGTGACCGCGTACTTAGCGTAAATTAATACCACGCGGAAAAAATTACTTCTACAGTATATCGTTACCTCACTGTTAAGATTCGTCTAGAGACATTTTCTTGTCTTTTTAACTTTTGTATATTAAATATTCTATTAAACTAGAAAGAGAATAAAATTGAATTTCTGGGCAGTAGTTTATGGGTTTTTTTTAAAACCCTATAGCATTTAGAAGAGTTTAACACCGAGCTTGAGTACACGTGAACCTTGGCAACTTTCGATATCACTGGATTTTACAGCGACAAATAACGACACGCAAAAGTCATATAGGAAACAATTTTACATTTAAGAATGATTTTCAGATTTTTATGATGTGAAAAGTAACTCCCTTAAGGGAACCATTGGAGAAGGTTTTTTACTCATTTAAAACGCATAGAAACGATAACTTTATAGAAATAGGAAGATTTACGACACTTTTGCTTGTTTTCTAAAAGTAAATCGATTGCTCATTGAAGGTCTTAAGACAACTTTCAAAAAAGTTCTTTAGTAGAATTTTTAAAATAGATCCCTCATTACATTTGAATAAAAAAAAATTAAACAAGAGGTACACAGGTCTTATCTTGCACATCGCCATATTTCCTTATTGACTCAGTAATTTTTCGCTGCCATCTCACTATTATTCGATACGTTAGAGCATGCTCTACGTATGATCAATTTCTAAAACGAGGTAAATTATTGACAAACAAGTAGATAAAACAAGATCATCAACAGTCTCGTTTAAAGTCATCATTTCGTAAGTTCTATGGTCGATACAATGTCCTTGTTAGCAAATATAATTTATCATTGAGTCAAATGCTGACTGACGTTTTTCATGCTCATTGTTAGTCTATTATTTATACACTGAATTGACGACGAATTTTCCCGTTATTTCCCAATCATGACAAGGAGTACAAGGCAGGTGTGACCCGTCAGCAGGGGATGCTTACTCCTCCATGGCACCTGATCCCACCTCTGATTATTTGAAGGTCCGCGTTTGCTCTGCTCCAATTTTGTATTGTTTAGATGACTTTTGAGCTTGAATACTGTTCGTTATCACCACATATTTCATCCAATAAATGTAAAGATGTATTACTATATTTTACATGTGTTATCGGAAAAGTATCTATACTGGTAATATATAATTATTGTAATTATATTTATTTATAAGGGTATAATTGTTCACCTGTTTTTAAATTCGCATTTCGCAAAATTTTCCAAAAACATTTACATGAGAAGAAAACACATTTTTGTGATATTTATTTCAACATTAATTCATATTCCAGTGTACTTACGACGTTTTGAAATGTACATTTCTATTTATATATGTCGACTCGATATACTAGAGAGCTTTGATGTTTGTTTGAGCTTCCATATTTGGATGTTTTATATCTGCAGACGGCAACGGACAACTAACAACCCAACTGCATGACAAAGAAGATGACTACAGGTTTTCAACCGGCAACATTTATTTTAATTAGTAATATTTCGCTAACATATACTTGTTGTGTTAATATTTCTCAATGTATCCGCTACAATTGTAGCGTGAAACCTAATAATATGATAACAAATAACAGAGGCGGCTGAATCCCCTCAGTTAACTTTCTGAGGACCTGGCAGGTTCAATATATACAAATATATGATTAAGCAATATATATAAATAAATGTTAGACTACTTGTCTTTAATCAATTATATACACAAAATCAGTGATGCTGGCTCATAAGAGATCGGCTCTTGCGGCTCCTACAGTCTCTTTTCTTTGATACTGGCTCTTACAGCGCAGTTCATACAGTTCGGCTCTTGCTGGCTCCTGTAGTACAGCTCTTGCTGGCTCCCACTGTCGCTTTTAATGACAAACAATATCTAAAGCCAGGAAAGACTTGTTCAGTCACGTCTGAAAGCTTTAAATATTTATTTTTTATCATTAACTAAAATTACCTCTCGTAACAAATGGTCCGCTTGTCTTACTCCTTCAGCATCAACTTCGCAATTTAATTAATTTGCCGCTTCACCTTTATTTATAGTCTCTGTGCTAAAATAACGCCACCTAGCGGAACATGACTAAAACAAGACTTGTACCGGAATATCTTTTCCCGGATTGTCTCATTACCCACGCCTCAAAATCCATGCGACCTCGCATGTTTGTTTTTGTTTGTTTTTTGCTTTTTTTTCATTTTTAAATATTATAAAACAATTTAGCTAGCTGCTTTATTGATCGTTACAAGAAATCATTAATCATGTATATACATCCAACAAAAAAAAAAATGAGCATAAACTACAGTAATTTAACAAAGCAACATCAGCTCTTCTTGCACAGAGTCTTGTGTCTCTCAACTTCAATCTTCTTCAACCATAACGATGTTCTCCATCTCTTTTTCACCCTCCTTCCACTTGGCAATGGTCCACTCTACTCTACGAACCTTCCTTTCTGTCTGGGTTCCAGCCTCAGTAACTTGGGGTATTCTTATGGAAGGACGTGCTGGGAGTCCAGAAGATGCAACAAGAGGATCCTTGCGCTTAGGAGCAAATATAGGCATGGGGGTGGTAGGTTTTCGAAAGATTCTCCCAATGTTTGCATCCTCATTATCGTTTTTTGTACTTGGCTCCTCTTCCTTCTCGTTATCTGTCTCGGAAACATCGCCTAATATGCTCCGTAAATCCCCTGGATCTG